CCAGCCACCCAGCCACCCAGCCACCCAGCCACCCAGCCACCCAGCCAACCAACCAACCAACCACCCAACCACCACCACCACCACCACCAACAACAACAACAAGAACAACAAGAACGACAAGGACAACGAACAACGCACAACTACTATAATATTCCTGTGACTATTACTATTGTATAATTTGTTGCTACTACCACTACCACTATTTACTACTACTACTACTACTACTACTACTACTACTACTACTAGTACTACTACTGCTACTGCTACTGCCTGCTACTACTACTATTATTCCAGAAATCCCGAGCCAACTCTCCGATACGTCCAGCCTCTAGTTGACTGAGGGAGGTGGAGCATCCCAGTGGTGTGCGCCTCGCTGAACCTCGCTGAAAGCAGTCGCGAAAGCACGAAGCTTTGTATCGCATCCCCCGGAGGAAACATACAGTAAACAAACACATGAGTTGTTGTTCTTGCGCGCAGGAACTACGCTTGGGATGATTTGTGTGGCTTCACAGTTGACAATTAGAATTTAGAATCAAGGAGATGTCAATCTCAAGGCCTATGCAAATAGGAAACAATTTCAGTGATGTGATATGATTTGACAGTCCTTCGATTGGCTGTCTATCAAATGCTTGAGATCAGTAGGGGGAGCGGGATGGTCGTTATTGGAGAACTTATCGTGATGGTAACTTCACAACACTGCATGTCACCATACTACAACTCACCACATCACAAATCATGACTTTACAACTCACCAAACAAAGTAGTGTTTGTTGCGATCATAAAACAGCAATAAAACACATCAGGAATGCAGCACAGCGCAAAGTGGACGTGAAGTTGAACCACACAAGGGGAGTGTAAGCGCCCCCAAACCGATTGCAAGGCCACTGAAACTAACATTGTGTGACTTCTGTGACTTCGCAACAACCTCAGACCATGGATCTGCAACTAAAATAAAGAGGCAACCGTCCTTGTGTGCCCTCCCTTGCCCTGCCAAGCTGACAAAGTGGTCAGCCAAGTATAGCTAGGTGGCGAGTTCTTGCAACTTGTCTGACTGGACAAATGTTTGGGGGGGGTGGAATAGCCCGAAAAACAGGTTTCTGACAGATTGCTGCCCAAGCAAAATACGGTACTCTCCGGAAAACTAACATGGACCCTGACAATGGCCATGTTAGTCTTCAGGAGGTTCTAGATTTCAATAATTCTCACGGTTAGCAAAACCATACAAAATTTTCAAAAGTCCGTCGTCACAAAATATCATACACCGATACACTCCCTGAAAGAATCTAGATCATCATGGAAGCGAAGAATGGCCCCTTGGATGACAATGCTTCCTCTACAAACAGCTGGCTCTCCACTTCCATGTGATGTGTTCCTCTAAGTGTATCAATGGTAGCCTCGGGAAAACTTGCAGACGCTGTCAAACCCCGGTCTCAAACCTGTCAACTCCAGCCAATCAAGAGAAGAATCATCACGGACGGTTGTCTCTTCTGTTGATCCGGTCGTGACTAAACAGGTCATGGCATGTCATGGCTCATCTCTCCCTTCCATTCCTCAACTTTGCCTCTACAAATTGGGTCACTTACTGCAACAGCGGATGATGGCCCCTAATGGCTCATGACTCATACCAACAAAAAAGAGACCCATGCTGTCCATTGGCAAGTCCTGGTCTTTGGCTGGAAACGTCTCCTACGAATAGGATGGAAATCCACCAAAAACAGAAACACTCCATGTATGGAATGCGAATTTTCAATTCCGATTCACAGCAACCGTGTGCAATGTTGCTGGCACAAGCACCTTCACTCCAGCTCTGACAAAAGAGCCACTTAGCGCGAGGGCTTGACCGATTTGTGCTTCGCATGGTAGCGGAGCCTGGCTTCGAGAAAGATCGGAGCCAGGTATCCTATTTTCCAGGGACCCCGTTTGTATAGTGTCACGCAGCCATGGCCGAGCTGCGATACAACAAAGATGGCATTCCCATCTTCGATGGAACTGCTGAACAGTATGTGCCCTACAGAAGGGCAGCTCTCAACTATGTAGAGACTCTGGAATGGAAGAAACGTGTTTTAGCTGGACCCCGTCTTCAGACGGCCTTAGAAGGATCAGCTCGAGTTGCAGTTCAGCATCAGCTGCCAGGCTGGATCAGCCATAGTGAAGGTGCGCTGCAACTGCTCAATTTCCTCAAGACGAAGATCCAATCTCCAACTCTAGCTGAAGCTGGAAAATCCATCTCCCGATTCTTCTACAGTGTGAAACGCCGCAAGGGCGAAAGCATGAACGAGTGGATCATCAGACACCACTGTATGATGCTCGCCGGACTCTCGCAGAAGCCATCCATGAATATGGGGGTGGGGACCTCCATCATGTTCATTCTGGCCTCGCAGCGACTAGTGCCGGCACAGGCCGACCGAGTCGGTCACAAGCCTCGCATGATCGGGATGACATCCGATCTCGAAGTTCGCGCTCAGATCCTCCACCTTTTCGTGATGATGGACGAATGAATGATGAAGGAGAAGAGGACCATGACGGTGAAGCCGATGCTTGGGTGGAACCGGGAGACCATTACTGGCGTGGGAGAAATGCTTGGTCTTCCTGGTCACGATCCTGGCATGACAATCACTGGGATTGGTATGAAGGCACATCGACAGAGGCTCCATCATCCAGACAGTCCAAGTATGATGTGTCCGAAGCAGCATCCCAGGAAGCTGACAAGTTTCTGCCAGACTTCGTTGTCGCATGGATGCTGCTGCAAAGATCAGGCTTGGACAGTACAGAACGTGGTGCCATCATCGCCAATTTGAAGAACCAATTCACAACGGAACATGTCAAGAGTGCCCTCCGAATTGCTTGGCCAGATGACGACCTCAAGAAGCGAGACCATCAAAGAGGCTCAGTCCTCCTGGTGGATGATGATGAGGAAGCCTTTTTCCATGATGATGATCAAGGTGACCTACATGAGTGGGAACCGCCTGAGGAAGATCAAGCTGAGTACTCATATCTCTCCTCTGAGGTTGAATCTGCACTTCAAGCCTATCAAGGTGCTCGAAGGACCTTGAAGGAGGCAAGGGAGAAGCAAAGCTTGTTCCGGAAGAGTCGTCAATTCTTCCCAGGCAAGCGTGAAACGACCACCCGCTTCAAGACGGAGGTGACCTCAGTGAAACGATGCTTCAAGTGTGGTGGCAATCATTCCACTCATGAATGTCCTCAGAAGAGTGGTGGATCACACGGGCAACAATCCGCTCACTTGGCCTTCCAAGTGTATGGCAGCTGCTCTGAGCCGAAACGATCAGCTACGACCTCTACACAGGAACTTGGCCTTTCACTGTCCCAGATCCTAGCTGAAGGAAAAGCAATCATTGATGGTGGTGCGACATCCTCAGTGGGATCCTCAGAAGCTCTGGACCAAATCCTCAACCTTCAGGCAGCCAATGCCTGGACTCCACAGGTTGAGGTTGAAGTTCAAAACCAACCAAACTTCCGTTTCGGAAACGGTGGTCAGAAGCAATGCCTGAGCACTGCCAAGCTTGCTGTCCCCCTAGGAGGGACGAGTGGAACCATGAACATTCACGTTCATGACATTGATGGCCAACCTGTGTTGCTGAGCATTTCTGCTCTGCGCACTCTGGGAGCAGTGATTGACTTCCAGAGTGATGAAATGATTTTGAAGTCAGTGGACCCCCGCCAAGTGATCAAATTGGAAACCACACCTGGGGGCCACCAAGTGTTTCCATTGACCACAGACATTTTGTCTGGTAGTTTTGCTAGGAGTGAACCTTTTTTGAGTTTGCGAGATGCAGGTACAGAATAGGGACAGCAACCTCCTCAGCCAAATGGAGTCGACGCCTCATTGTCATGTCCGTCGAAAAGTGCTGAGGGGGGGAACTTTTATGATGACAGTTCATCCCTTCTCCACATATCGGAGTCGATGTCGAGTAATGTGAACTGTTTCTGTTCTGATCATTTGTCTGTGTTGAATTGTTGTTGTATTCATCCTTTTTCGAGAGTGAATTGGGAATCACCGCAGCTTTGGCGCGAAGTGACTGATCCATCTACCCTCGATCCTGTACGCCAGAATGCCCGCTCTGAGCAAAGCCGGCCTCATCGAGAAGATCCAGGAGTTTGGAGAAACACCTCCAGTATCCTGGGGTCGGTCTCAACTGGAAGGCCGCCTGGCGGAGCTGAAAGCTCTCAATGGTCCGCAAGAAGATGCCATGCAGAAGAGCAAAGTCGCCGAGTTGAACAAGGCGGCTCGCAAGAAGGACCACCTTCTGGCTTACATCAAGGATCAGGGCATCAAGATCTCCGGTCACGAGACCATCGCACAACTGCTGGCCTTGGGTCATCGCCACATCCTGGAGAGTCACAGTCCCCGTGGATCAGAAGTGATGGGATTTGGGAAACACTCCCAACTCACCTACTCAGAAGTGGCTCACCAAGACTGGCAATACATTCAGTGGGCAACCACCACTTACCAGGAGGCAGGGGGAGCTCAGGGCACCAGCGACTGGCGCCTCAAAAGGTTCGTGCAGTGGTACCAGAAGGGACAGAAGGGGAGCACCAAGCCCAAGAGCTCTTCCGCGAAAGAGCCAGTGATCCCGAAGAAGAAGAAGATCCCAGGTGCCTCAACGGACAGCTCATTTGCCCTGATCTCGGAGGGAGCCCTGCCGGACGACTCCTCAGAGATGGAGATGATCTCAGAGACAGAGCTAGAGATCCAACAGCTGGAGAGCAGGCTTCGAGACCTTCAGAGATCCAAGAAGGAGCGCCGCCCATCTCCAGAGAAGCCACCACCAGCTGCCGTGCCACAGTGAGTCCGGGCTCCACCTATGAGCACCTCTCGGTGTTGAGCAATCAGGAAATTCAGTTTTTGCGACACCATCCTAAAACTCTGGTTTGTGAGTCCTGGAAGGACTTGGTTGATCAAGGTAGGTTGTGTTTGATGGAGGTTTGTTGTGAGCCTGACTCTGTTTTGTCTTCTGAATGTGAAAAACTGTTTGGTGTCGGGAGTGCATATCGCATTGCTCACTGGAACGGAGGTGACATTGAAACATATACAGGACGTCAGCACATTCGGACCTTGCTGCGCGAGAAAAGACCAAGAGTGCTGTGGATCTCTCCAGAGTGCGGTCCATACAGTCCCATGCAACATTTGAATCAACGAACCCCTGAACAACGAAAACAACTGAAGGAGAAACGCCGGAAGGCGGATCTCCAATATGAAGGAGCGTGCATGATTGCCAAAGAGGCTCATGAAATGGGTTGCATGTTTGTTTTAGAACTGAGTGAACGCTGTGAAGGTTGGAATCACTCATGTTTCTCGGATCTCGCTCGCCACGTTCCGGTCTTCGAAGCTGTGTGTAAAGGGTGTCAAGTGTCCTTGAGGGATTCCAAGGGGAAGTTACTCGGAAAGGGGTGGAAGCTCCAGAGTAACAATAGGTCCTTCGCCGAAAACATGAACCTTCGGTGCTCAGGAGATCATGAACATGGAACATGTGAAGGGTCGAAAACCTGTAGGAGTACTGCTTTCTACACTCCCGAGTTTGTGAAACGTGCTTTGAAGTTGGCCTTGTCTAGAGACAACTACGAAAGTCTGTTGGGGGAACTTTGTGATGGGGTTTCTGGACATGCCATGGCTTTTGAGTGCGTCAGATCATGTGAGGAAGCTGATTCACAGCAAAACGAAGACCCTAGTGAACAAACGAAACAAAACGGGGAAACGGCGTGCGTTTTGTCGAGAGAGGAGAGAAACCAAGCTTTGCAAAACATCAAACGCATTCATTCAGCCACTGGTCACTGCAGTAGAAACTACCTTTACAAGGCCTTGAAGAAGAGAGGTGTCTCTGAAGAGGTATGTAGGTTAGTGAACGAGTTCGAGTGTGATGTCTGCCAAGAAAACGTGAAACTTGTGCCTCGAAACCGATCAACGTTGTCGGACATTCCGCCGAAGTGGACACGAGTGCAATTCGATGGAGCGGACTGGCAGCATCCCAACAGTGGTGAAACGGTGCATATGATTTTGGGGATTGACGAAGGTTCCAGGTTTCGTGTTGGAGGAATTCTGCACGAAGGAAAGAATTTTTCTCCTTCGGCCAAATCTCTGATTTCCTTTTTTGAATCTCACTGGCAGCCTGTGTTTGGTCAACCAGTCACAATCCGGCTGGATCCGGCCGGAGCCTTTAGAAGCAAAGAGTTGGATGATTATTTTTCAAACCGACAAATCATGGTGGACACCATTCCGGGAGAGGCTCATTGGCAAAATGGAATCATCGAGAGATGTGTGCAATTTACTAAGAAGTCCATGTCAGCTTTGGCTGCTGAGTTTCCGGAGATGAAAGCCTCCGAACTGTTATCTAGGTCTTTGTGGGCCCAGAATACTCATGATCAGTATTTAGGTTTCTCTCCCCTGCAACATGCTTTCGGTAGGAATCCTGACATCACTGGACGTTTGACCCCGGGACAACTTTGTGACACACCCGTTCTTACGGAATCAGGTATTTCCGCTGAATTTGGAGAAAACACGAAAGCTATGATTGAAGCGGAGAAAATGTTTTTTGAAGAGCAAAACAAAGAACGCTTGCGTCGAGCTTTGGACTCTGGACATCGTCAAATGAGACAAGTGACTCCCGGTGACCTCGTGTTTTACTGGAGATATCAAGTCACGAAAAACCATGGCTCAAGCGCTTTCAAGAGAGGAAAATACCTCGGACCAGCAAGAGTACTGGCCGTTGAAACCAGAAAAGAATCCGATGGGTCAGCTCGAGCTAGCTCCATTGTGTGGCTAGTTAGAGGCAACAAACTCCTGAAAGCGGCTCCTCAACAAATCCGTCCTGCAAGTCCTAGAGAAAAGGCCTGGGCAGAGCTTGAGGATCCTCATCAACCTTTGTCCTGGACGATCTCAGACATCCTAGACAAGCCCGCAGGGAAAACATATGAGAACATTCTGGAAGACTGGAATGAATTCAAGAGCCTGAATGATTTGAATGATGAAGAGTACAGTCCCTCATTACCAGATGACACTGGAGATCACCAACTTGAGCAACAAGAAATTCCCATGGATGAAACACTTCCCATGGAGGAAGACACCACAACATCCATTCGGGAGCAGCAGATTGCACCTCCACAACCTTATCATCCAGAGCGGAAGAGACAATGGGAAGCCCCTCGATTTAGGGCAAAGAAGAAGACGAAAGGGGTAGAAGTTGTTCCTGAAGAAGGAGCGGACATTGGCTACATCCAACTAGCAGCTGAAGATCCCTCTTCACATCTTCTTCAAGAACATGCTTGCCTAAGCATTGAGATTGACCTTCCAAGTGGACCTCGTGGAAAACAAAAGTCATGGATTAGAGACTTCACCTGTTTTGTCACCAACCAGATCAAGAAGAACCACGTAGAGGTCAACGAACGTTTTCTCTCTGAAGAAGAGAAGAAGTTGTTCGCAGCAGCAAAACATGTGGAGGTCAAGAATTTTGTCCTGGCCAAAGTTTTTGAACAACTCCCAAAAGGAGTACGGCCAGACAGATCCCAGGCTCTGAGGATGAGATGGGTCTTGACATGGAAAATCAACCCGGATACCCATGAAAGGAAAGCAAAAGCACGGGCAGTGATTTTAGGATTCCTCGACCCAGAATATGAGAGACGACCTTCAGCGAGTCCCACAGTGTCTCGTACTTCCAGACAGCTGTTTCTTCAAATGGCGCGCTCATTTGGATTCTCAGTGGAAAAGGGTGACGTCTCAGGAGCCTTTCTTCAAGGCAGAAGATTCAATCGAGAAATTCTTTGTGAACCACTGCCAGAAATCTGCAAGGAGCTCAATCTTCCAGAAGGGAGCGTGACCCGGTTGACTCGTGCGGCATATGGCCTAGTTAGTTGAAGCACCCATAGAATGGTATTGCACCATCAATGAGTTTCTAGAGTCAATCAACTTTAGAAGACAGCTGAGTGATCCTTGCGTATGGGGCCTTTTTGATGAACAGCAAAAACCAATTGGTTGGATATGCTCCCATGTGGACGACTTCATGTTTGCAGGCGACCTGAAAGACTCTCGTTGGCAAGGAGTCCGCAAACAAATACAAGACCGCTTCCGCTGGCAAGAATGGGAAAAAGACAACTTCTCACAATGTGGAGTTCAAATTTCTGCTCAACCAAATGGAGGTTTTTGCCTAAGCCAAGAAGACTTCCTCACCGGTGTTGATGAAATTCACATCCCAAAGAAGAGATGGGATCAGAAGGAGGACACAACCACTGATTCGGAAAAACAGCAAATGAGAAGCGTTCTCGGTTGTCTTTCATGGCATGCTGGACAACTTGCTATGGATTCCTGTGCTCCAGTGGGCTTGATGCTATCCAAACTGAATAGCTCAACAGTGGAAGATTTGATTGAAGTGAACAAGATTTTGAAGCGAGCAAAATCACGTGGAAGACAAAAACTGTTCATCCATCCCATTCAACCTCAAGATCTAATTGTGGCAACGTGGGTCGATGCTGCGCATGCCAACAGACCTGATGGTAGCAGTACCAAAGGAGTGATAGTAGGATGCTCATCACAGCGACTGTTGGATGGAGATCTTGAAAGGGTGAGTCCCATTTACTGGTCTTCATCCAAGATCACTCGAGTTTGTCGATCCAGTGCCGCCGCGGAGACGAGAGCCGCAGTGGATGGAGATGACCAGATGTTTGCAGTACGCTTTCAGCTAGCAGAATTTCTGGGGCATCCTCCAGAAATCAGGAACCTAGACAATTATGTGATGAAGATTCCTGGAGTGATCATCTCTGATGCCAAAAATCTATACGATCGTCTTTCCCAGACCATGCTGACGCTGAGAGGAGCTGAAAAGAGAAGCGATCTCGAAAGTCTCTGCCTCAAAGAGTCGATGGAACAAGCAGGTACCCTCCTTCGGTGGGTCAATGGTGATTCCCAATTAGCGAATAGTTTGACGAAAGAAACCGAACCTCATCAGTGTCTTCTCTTCTCTTCTAGAAACTGCAAATGGCGCATAGTCTACGACTCCGAACTCATGTCAGGAAGAAAAAGGAAGTCAAAAGGACTCTCTTCCCTAGAACATGAAGGAGAAGTGCATCTCGCATATTAAAATTTAAATTTTTGGGATCTATGCGAATTTTCAATTCCGATTCACAGCAACCGTGTGCAATGTTGCTGGCACAAGCACCTTCACTCCAGCTCTGACAAAAGAGCCACTTAGCGCGAGGGCTTGACCGATTTGTGCTTCGCATGGAATATGTCTTTTCATACCCAAAGCCCCGACATGACCCCGGTTTTGATAGACCAACATATCTTGGGTGGTTGGTGGTCTAAAATTAGAGATGCAGTCAGGCTCTAGGTATGTCATGGTATGTCAACCAACTGACCCCTTTTGAAGCAACTGATTTGTTCTGAGCCTGTCGTTCAGGACCCCCTGTACCACACGACGAGCTGCCAGTCATGATGCGCCCGGCTGACAAGGTGGAGCCCGCCCGTGACGGGGGCAGGGCGTCGCCGAGACCCACCTATCGAGTGCGAGTGAGAAGAAAGGGACGTTCAGACCACCCTAGGATTCCAACAAGCATCGATCGTTTTGATGGCCTGAAAACCAAAGAACCACAATTTGACGAAAGATTCTTACACTCCATCACCAGGTCAACCATTCCTTGAATGGCCGAACTGAACGGAACTACTGTCTGGTTCTTACCAGTGACCCGGCGGAGATCCGAGAGGCGGGGCGGACACTTGTACAGGTCTGTAAGTTTGGTCACTTCCCAATAGAAGTTCGGTCACTGGGAATGTCCTGGTGGAGGTCTTGCAAGTTCCTCTTACTTGGGAAGTTGCTCACTTTGCACAAGCCTGCAGCCTCTTACACACACTGGTGGTGCTGAAAAACATACAGCACGTGTTTGCTCTGCTTGAAAAGTGAGTCGACCCAAACGACGAAACGTGTAATGAAGCACATTGGAACATACGAGGACTGCAAGTTCCGTCGAACAGTCTAGCAAAAGTCCTAGCCATACAAGGGTCTCTGGATGCTTGCAAAGGTTGTCCAGTGATGTCCAGTAGGGTTAATCTATAAATACATAGTTATACCATTTATACCAATTTGCAGAAGGCCTTCACTCATGGGGTCCAATGACCCATGCAGCCCATGCAGCATGATAAAGATGACAGTCAGCCATGCTCCGACCCTGGCGATCACCCAGCAGAAGCACTCACAAAGCCCACATCGAAGGTCATTACACCATCCATCCGGGCTCGGTGGCCGAACGCCCGAAGCTTCAACCAGCCCGCCTTGGATGGTCCTTTGTTGGCCACCTTGCTGTGATTGTCCTGGGATGGCAGGCGAGGAGAAGGAGTCCAGAAACCAGCCGACAAAGAGGTCTACACGAATCCAGAGGAGGTTGAGAAAAGAACATGCTGTATGGTCAATGGGATAGCTTGCAGGGGAAAAATAAAGAAAAACACACGTGTCAGGAGCGGGACATAGAGGGACGGTGATGGATTCCTGAGTTGACGTCCAAGGGCAGGTTAGCTTCGAATCGGAGGCATATATTCTTTCTTTCCCGTTGAACTTAAAGGCTCACACGCTCTTAATTTTACGGTATGTGCCAACTTCCCCCTAGCAGCCAGCAGGAAACGCAAAATTCAGATTGCTTTGGCCATCTATGAGAAGCTGGGTTTCTCCTTTCAGCAAGAGCAGGAGAGATATTCACTAAGAGGAAGGGTTCCCCTAACATCTATCTATACTATACACCAAAACAGTGCAGTCTGCCATGGCTTCCCCACACCTCAACGGACTTCTGAACGACATCATGCTTCCCTGCGTCAAGAATTCCTCCGATGGGAATGGGGCCCAAATCATGCAGTATCGTCGACAAATTAGTGGAGCCTGTAGAAAGTTCACTATTGAAAAAGTCAGAAGCTGTGGGAAGCCTCCACACTGATACCAGCTCCCAGATGCCGTGTCAATGCTCCCAAATGCCGTACTACCACATTCTCTTGGACAATTGAAGAAGACAGAACGTTGCCCAAATATGTATAATATATTATATACTTGTGTTCTAAACTCCCTGACACGGTTGCATGATGTTGCATGCATCCATGTACGATTCTTCTTGGTGCCAATCGAACGGACCAAACCAAATTCACGCCAAGTCTCAATGGCTTTCCAAATATTCTTCATTCGAATATCTGCGTTCCAGGCCGTCGCCAGCGTCTCTCGATCAAAGGCTTTCTTGGCACCTTGGAAAAACAAAAAAAAACAAAAAAACAACACAAAACATTTCACGTTGCTCGAGGCCCAGTGGTTTCGTTCGATGGCACTGGCACCCCAAGGGTCGACGTCCCTATAGATGTCCTCTATGGCCCAATGGGTCCACAAAACCATCGAACTTGGGGTGCCATCGAACCTCTGAAAACACTGTAGTTGTGCAAACTGGGAAGACTGGGGTGAGGAGCAAAGAAATCACCTGGTTTTCGCTGAAAATGGGAGATAGCTGGCAATGGATGGAGGATTAAGGGATGTTACCCTTTTGCCCTCTTGAGCAGTGTCCCAGTACTGTTATCCCCCAAAAAAATGTCATTGTCATAATAGGTGGATTCAAGAGTTTCCATTGGAAACTACATTCTTGAAATGCCTATACCTACACCATCCAAAGTACGTGACCCTCTAAAATCAGGTACTTGTATATACCATCTTGTACGCATTCTCTGAGGCACGAGTTCCGGCAGTCGACTCACAAAGCAATCGCAGTGGCATCCAACAAAGGTTGAAGAATCCTATATAATATATATATATATAGAGACTATCCCATAAGTACCCCAGGTTACGGGTCCTGTAAGGTCACTTGACCTTGGATCTACAGTGGTTTCCCTCAGAACCGGTCTAACTGATCTCACTCATTCGCCACTGTTTCGCACCCAGTTTCCTCCGTCCCAAAGACAACCGGGCACCCAAAAGCGCGGCTCCTGACGGGCACCTGCCTCGAAGCACACATGACATCATGACTCAATGACCCCATCAAAAACATCAAACACATCTCAGTAGCTTCTTGCTCCTAGTAGTACGGCCAGGAGCCCCTAGTAGCGTCCTTGCTCCTAGTGGCGATGCCAGGAGCCCCTACAAGCGAACCTTGTTCCTAGAATCTCAGTTTGTAAACTTGGAAAAGGGATAATTACAGCCATAATTATTCATATTTACCTTTTTTTTCTTCGGGGACATGTCCCGGGATCCCCCGTTGCGAGCACGTGACGGTCTGCGTTGCGCAGCATCGCCAGCTCTTCCCGATTCGCCTTCGCGAGTTGATGTTCGTGGATTCGTGGGCGGACGAAGATGCAGTGCCAGTTTAAAGTACGTTTCACCTGGGACCTGGGATAAAACAGCTACTTGTAACATCTTGTAACGGGTGGAAAAAGAGGCCCTGATGGCGTTTCCGAACAAACAAATGGTATGACCTTTTTGACAGAGGTCGTACTTGGGACCCTTTGCGGGGTCATTTGGAGAGGTTGATGGTAAATGCATCTACGTCCAAATATCTGTATATCCCAATGGTGGAAAATCGTTGTGTATTTAGTTGTGTCAGGTATTGTCATGTTGTGTCTGTACTCTGTACAAACCGAACCATGGACCATGGCCCAAGGGGCCCAATGGTGCGAGCAAAGCAAACTCGGTTCACCCGACCCTTTCGGGGCTCCTATATGTAAGAATAATCAGGACATTGGCCTTATGTCTTTCATTTTGAGATGTGAGCAACTGCCTAAGATGTAGTGCTACAAAGGACACTAGAAGAAGGATTATGCTACAAATGGAATCAAGCAAGCGGATATATGATGGGAAACACATCCGTAAAGCAAAGCCTTGATGTTTTTCCAGATTGCAAACATGATTCAGGATTCCTCAGCCGGGTGCCCAAAATGCCATTGGATGCCTTCCCTAACAATGCTTCTTGCACATCTTTTCGGTGAGCCGTTGGACAATTTCTGCAACCACCAGCCACCAGCCATGCCACAGCCGAGAACAGCCAGCAAGAACAGCATGGTACCAAGTACATGGTGTGTAACACGGGTATATCCCATTACCACTAACAGTGAGTGGATTATGATTGTTAGGTTGCAGGCCTTTCTCAGACTTGCAAACACTATCTACAATTAGTGATAATCTCTTGCCGACAGCTGTAGGCTATACTGTACTGGTTCACTGGGACGCGCCCATTATATACCATGGTCTGTTGCCCCCCTCTCTGGATATCTTCCTCGACGTGCTCAAAACATTCTAGATGGGCCACATGCAAGAACACATCGATGTCTTCGGTAATTATCCTACCGGTACAAGCAAAAAGGAAACCATGGGGCAAAGCAAAAAGAACTCTGTCAGGGCCATGGCTATATAACAACTCACACACAGCTCATATGGTCAGTCACTATACAATGATGTGCTGTTAAACTACTGTAGCAGTCCGATGCAAGATGTACAAAGACTCTCAGGCTCTGCTTCTGTTTCTAGGTCTTGTTTCAGCTCTGCTTTACATTAAACTCCTTTTCAACACTGAGACTTACACTTCCATGTAATGTATACTGTACAAGAACATCAATAAATCGAACATAGACGCCAACATCCAAAAATTGATGTTTAAAGGATGTCCAAAAACAACATCTTAAAATGTCTGAAATATTTTCCCTATAATATCAATACGGAACTGCTTTCACAAAAACAAAACAAACTTTTCCAGCCGAAGGCCAGGCCTGTAGTTGGCTCAGCTCGAGTGCTAGATCCTTCTGCTTGGCCAGATTTCCTTAGATGTTTGGAGGGAATCCATGATGTTTGGAGGGAAGATCTGGACGAAAATCGAAACTTCAATGGAAACTTGGGCACGCCCCGAACCGCCGCTTTCGAAAATGATGTGAACACACTTTTTTTTCAAACACCAATCTGCATGCGTATTAGCATATGCGTATATAGAGCAAGAAGACACCTGTGAACATGAACATACAACAAAACCCATAGTTGGAGGGTCTCTATACTCCAAAACGTACCCGTCTATGTTAAAAGTCAACAACACATCTGCTGATTCTGCTGCACCTTCAAGCCAACCACTCCGGATCCACCGTGCGCAGCCACAGGCTAAGCGACCTTCAATCCATCTACATCTGAACCAACTGCACATTTCTCTAAAATAATGATCGCTGTTTCAGCACTGTGACGAACTGCCCTTTCTTGGGGAACCCCTATTTTTCCGGGATTGTTTTTCAGGTTTTTTTCCGGGATTTTTTTTTTGTGATTTTTCCCCTACTGCTTTTGCTTGTTGTTTTTGCTTTTGCTTCTGCTTCTGCTTTTTGCTTCTGCTTTTGCTTCTGCTTTTGTTTTTTGCTTTTGGCCTTTGCTTCTGCATTTGCTTTTGCTTTTTGCTTTTGCTTTTTGCTTTTCCTTCTGCTTTTGCTTTTGCTTTTTGCTTCTGCCTTGGCTTTTGCTTCTGCTGACTATATATCTTTTTTGCATTGACACTGCCACAAGGTTGGATGATAAGACCTTCACCTTGAGCTTTGACACCCAATTACACCAATCAAGAGACGAAGCAGCCCAGCGCTGTCTATATTTGATTTGCATTGCGGGGGAGGCGCTGCGCCCTCCCCCGCACCC